GACTGTAAACAGCTAGTGTTTTGATCTTACACAGCTTGCACACAGCCCCCTCATTCTGCATACCCGGTTTTTCTCTTTTCTGTACTCTATAAGACCTGTGTTGGGGAAGTTTGGGTGGCAGCCAAACAGTATCATCAGCCAGCTGCCCCCAGATGGCCTGTCCACAGGCTGTATGGGACTTAGTGGGATGACTTCACCAGTGGCAGCCAGTGTGGCTGTAAAATTAAGTCTTAATAAACTCATGTCTTTCACAGCCAGTCCTCCAGGTCATTTCTTTGGAATCCATGAACAATACCCTGAGGTTTTCTGTGATCTCAGCACTTTGCATAACACAAGGATTACAAGAAAGCATATATTATGATCACCAGACTTATGACTACCAAATTAAAAATTAAAAATTGTTTAAAATTAGCCTCTCTATGTCCGTTTATCTGCACCAATAGAAACGCCTTCCTTTTATTGATATAATTACTTCCCTTCCCGTTCTCATAAATACCCCTTGCCTTTGTCTCCTAATAGAAATACTATTTGGTTTTCAACTGTCAGTGTTTCCTGAATAGCTATTCTTTATTTCAAATAAATGCATGTTGTCTCTCACTTTGGCCTTTATTTTTAGGTTAACACTAGTATACTTTTTCAAAATTTAATTTGCAAAAAGTGAAACATGACTTTCATACAAATAATGAAGAAATAACTGTCAAATATATTTTTAAAATATGTTTTTATTGATTTTTAGAGAGAGAAATGGAGACGGAGAGAGAGGGATAGACACATCAATGAGAGAGAAACATCGATCGGCTGCCTCCTGCACACTCCATGCTGGGAATCAAACCCGAAACCTGTGCATGTGCCCTGACAGGGAATCGAAACAGTGACCTGTTGGTGCATTGGTTGACACTCAGCCACTGAGTTACACCATCTGGGCTGTCAAATATTTTTTTTAATTAATGAGGGAACAATAAGATGGTAAAGCTGGTTCAAGGAACATTTTGCGAAAAAGTATTTACAGTACACTTGGAAAGGCATTTGAAATGTGTGCTGAGTTAGACAAAACTCATTAATATCCTATAGGGCAATAAAACTGTAAGTTTTGAGGTTATTTTTTCTATTGAACAGATATCTGTAAGTTAACATATAACCTCTCAGGTACATTTTCTTACATTAGTGGTTTTCAAAGTATAGTCCCCAAACTGGAAGCATCAGCATCTGTTGGGAACATGCTAAGAATGCAGATTTTCAGTCCCCCCAACCCCAGACCTATTTATTTAGAAAGCCTGGGGATAGAGCCCAGTGATCTGTTTTAACAGCGCTGCAGGTGATGCTGATGCACTGTAATATTTGAGAACCACTGCTATAAATAGTAAATAATCTTTATTTTTAAAACAAATATCAGACAGTGCTTCAGTATGACATTAAAAGGACATGCCACCCTCCATTTTGCCTTATTTCCAAGTTTAAATCATTTGCTGTTAAAGTTTGCTGTTTGTTGTTTTGTTTTTCAAATATTCTATCAACTTAAGGCAGTTTTCATCTATTCCTAATTTGTCTTTTTTCTCCTTTTTAATAAAAATGTTTTTCCAATTCTATCAACTCTTTTCTTTAAGCTATCGATATGATAAAATACAAGTTGAACCATTCTTATATTCTTAAAATAAAAATTTTCTTGGACATGGTGTAGTATTTTTTTTTTTTAATGTCTTTATTGATTTTAAAGAGAGGAAGGGAGAGGAAGAAAGAGAGAAACATTAATGATGTTTCTCATTTAAACATCACTGATCGGCTGCCTCCCGCCTGCTTCCGACTGGGGATGAGCCTGCAGCCTGGAGCCGGCGATCTCCGGACCCGAGGTGGATGCTAAGCGCGGAGCTACGCCCGGCCCGGCCTGGTGTAGTATTTTAACACTGCTGACTTCAACATGCTGGTGTTTATGATTTTTCAAAAGTTCTTTATAAATGAGATCAATTTTAGCATGAATTGGGAAGACTTCCACCTCCTTCTCTTTATGGAGTAATTTAGTTGTTATGGGCTTTGTCTGTCCTCTGAAAACTTGAAAGGCTGCAACAATAAAACCAGCTGGGCTTGGTGTATGGCGGGGTGGGGCATGGAATTGAAGAAAGATCTCAAAGTGTTCAATTTCTTGATTGGTTATTGGTCTATTCTCCTGTGTATTTTTGTTGCTGCTGCTGGGTTTTTGGGGGGTGGTAGTTGTTGTTTTAACTCTTCAAGGGAATAGAAAGTTAGTTTTCCTAGACCATCTATTTGCTCAAACTCACCAGTAAGCAAACTAATGCAATTTAAAACAACCAATTTTTCTCCCGTTATATGGGGAAATTTTAAGATAAAACATCAGCGTTAGTGAGGCCGTAGGGAAACAGTGCTCCTGAACGTGTTGTTGCCGCCGTCTTTGCTAGGCAACTAAGGGGCTCATCGAAATGAAAAAAAGGACCCAGGGTATTTAAAGGAGCTATTCGAGTACTGGTAATGTTTCCTTATATGGGTGCCAGTGACATGGGGTGAGTTTATGAAAATTCATTGTTTTGTACTTTTGCGTACAATTTTCTGTATGTGTGTTATATTGTAATTACGCTTTTAAAATATGGCTTTCGCCACAGCCCGCAGCGATATGCGGCGCACGAGCTGTGCCCACCCCTGGAGGTCATGGGAATGACCCGATCAAAGGGGATCACGTTAAGTGCCAGGCCCAGCTTCGGGGCGCCTGCTCTCTTAACTCGAACAAATTAAGCGGCCCCCGCTCCCTATTTTCTACTGCTTTGGGTACCTCCGTTAAACTGGAGACTGCGCGGGCCGTCTCCCTGCAAGGTTTCCCGGGAAGCCTCGCCCCGAGGCAGCTCTGGGC